TTCAAATATCCTCCAACTATGGAGATTGAAACTTAATTTTTGCAAACAAATGTAAAGTGGAATTAAAATTTTTTATCTAACCAAACTGAAGTAATTTTGCTTCATTACCTGAAATTTTATTGAGGGTTTTGCTGCAAACATTTTAAACAATTTTGAAAACCATACTTGGTTGGAACGTACTATAAATTTAATTTAATCTAAACTTAATTATCATAAAAAAACCTCTTAACGCAGAAAAGCTTACTAATTAAATACTAATATTTTTAAAATTTTCGTTAGAAGTAAATTTGATGTACAATTTTTAAAACTCATAGTTCAGTTTTTAAAACACCAGCCAATCTATAAGTCTGCGTGAGAAAATGATAGTTTCCCTTCTAAACGTCATTTTGGTCAATTAGGCAAGGGATGGTGTATAAATGAAGGCACAACATTTTGAATTGCACTTTAAGTTGTCAAATTTGCACTAAGGAACGTGGTCAAGTAGTTGACTAATTGCAAATCATATAAGTGCATTTATAGGCATTTTGGAGACCTTAGGAAGACCTTGTCATTATGTTTACGAATAAATGGTGGGATTGTGCAGGCCAAATATAATATAAAGAAAGGTCTGGCCTCAAAAGCCAATATCATTAGCAATTGAAGCACAAGGTGGAAAATGTAGAAATTATTTTCAGATTAACAGGACAATCGGTTTTAAGGTGCCTACTTTTACTTAAACTTCTCTGACGAAAAATCTCCCTCCCCCACCCTCCAATTTTCCGGTAAGAAATATTGATAAAACAAGTTAAAAAAAGTCTCAGAAAATAAAACATAAACAAGGAAAAATACAGATGGCAGTGATTTTATAGAGCTGTTGAACAGCACAAGGAAACTCAGGTAAAGAACTGAAGTATAATTTTTTGAATTACTTGACAGACATGCTATTCGGGATACGCCATACATTAACACACAGGCAACTCCAACCAACTTTTTAATTTTGACATGTGAAAAATTCACTACCAGAATTGAAGTCGAATTTTAATAAAAGTGGCAATATCTGCAAAGTTAAAATATATTCATTTTTTTCAAATGCAGGCGTTTTGATAGATATCATCAGCCATTTAGCTGAATTCGGGCTTCACAGAGGGAAGGTTCATCAAAGGAGCAGAAAATCGAGGGGTGGGGAACAGAAGAGCGATTCACAGATATAAAAGAGGCAGACAGACACAAAGGTAGAGAAAAAGGTAAGGTGAGTACTGTGAAAAGGGTCGAATATGACAACCAGGTGGGTCGTGGTAGCTTGAAGTCAGAAGTCAAATGCCGGTTAATAGACTTTTTTGCCGTATGAGTATACGTTGCCCAGGGTACACCACGTGGAGGTAAGTCTATCGCACACCCCAAGTTTAAATTTTAAGTTATGAATTATGATTGCATTAAATAAGTGTGCTGTAACTTTTTAAATGTCCAACATTACAAGAGCTTATTCTACTTTTAATTCAGTTGCCAGGGCGTTAGTGGTTTAAAATACATTAAGTTTAAATTATTTGAAATTGCATTATCTTCATTGCATTGTTGGTTGAAACCTTTGGACTTGAAACTTGACATAAATCGCCTTTTTCTAATATGATATCTTTGCAGTCAATCATTAGCTACATTATCCTGATTTAAACTTTCAACATGAAAATAATTGGGAATTAAAAAACTCTATTTAACATTTAGCCCGTTGAGATAACAATTTGCCTTAGTTACAGCTTACAAATTTTACTTCTTACATGCTCAACAGCACTTAACTAGAGGAAGGTGTAAGTTGGTCGGATTTGCGACATTTGAATGCAAAAAAAATACCACTTGCCTGGATAGGTCAAGGCGAGTAACCTGTGTTTTATTGCCCCGACTTCAACATTGACGAAAGCTTCCTATTGGTTGCCCCATTTCTGCCAAATATGAAGGCTTGACCCAAATTTGTACGTACTGTGAGAGAATCTCTGCCTCCTACATATTTGCCTTATGTTAATCGTTGCAAGGTTATAGCATTCGGCAAGACTTTGAGATGGCAAATACTACAGGAATTTCAGAAAAAACTCGCGCAAATCCTGGATTTAGTAAAGGGACTGACGAATTTAGGCACTATAATCAAATATTGGATATTATAACTTACTCATTCTGCATCATTGGAATTATACTGAATTTCTTTGCCTTTGGTATCCTGCGTAGGAAAGCAACAATGGGTGTTCTTCTCATCAAACTTATTCTCATTTCTGATGGTCTTGTCTGCCTTTTCTACCTATTGAACCAAACGTGGACAGATATTTGGATGAAGTATTTTTCAAATTCAATGGTGTCCTTTCAATATTCCAAAAAGTCAATTCCAACCCACATTTCAAATATCCTGCGAAAGCTCGCTATTACAGCCACTGGCGTAAGCAATTGGTATGTTGTGATAATGATAGTTCATCGGTGTGTTTCCATATATATGAACCCTCTTAGAAGCCGCATTGATCGATCGCTTTGGGCGTTTGTACAAAAACCTACAAATTTGTGGATTGCTTTTGGGGCATGCTGGATATTTGGTCTAATTCAAGCATTCCTTCTGCCTTATAATAACCAAATCACTCTTGATGTGTTTATGTATGTCCTCCCTCTGATTCTGGTGTTCATCTTTTCTGTTTCGTTGCTGTTCAAACTGCGCAAGATTCACACGAACACTGATCCTGCGAATACCCCTTCTATGTGCTGTTTTTCTTTACACGGCGTTAACAAGTCCCACAAAGGTGATTCAGATGAGACATTTACTCAAATAAGGCCCGCCACCCTTTCGGCTGAAAATCGATTACGATCGTCTGAAGAAATTCAAACTAATCCCTCGACCAGATCGAAGAGAATGCCTGCTGAAATGGATAGAAAGAAAACGTATCATCGAATAACAATGACGATATTGAGTTTGGCTATTTCATTCGTTATTTTGGATTCGATGCAATTAATAGACCTTCTGATTCGAATTCCATGGGATGCATTGCTTGGAGGAATTGAACGGGTTCCTGCAAATGAAACCGGTTTGGATGTATATGTGACTGAGGTAAAATCGAAGTTGAAGCAGCATGTGATGAGTATTGTGAAAAATACTTGTACACTTGGAAAGACTCTTGCTAATTTCATTATTCTCTGTGCCCACAGTCGACATTTTCGAGTACTAGTGTCGGTAAAATTTAGACGCTTTCGAAGATTTTTCAAGGTGTTCAAATATCGATATTCGCGATCTGCTCACGCACCTCATGGTGGACGAAATCTTTGGTTCATTCCATCAATCAGAAGAAGCACTATTCATCACAAACCTAAAGATGCTAATATTTTTGTACATACGTATCCGGACCGAAGTCCATCCAGAATGATGAAATTAAAAATGCGTAAACAGAGGGCTTCCAGTTCCTCAGGAAGCAGCTTGGCGCATTCACTATTTCGTCAAAAACGAGGCGACAATGAAGGATATGTCGTGCACAAATTTCGAAAGCCCCTTAGAAAAAGTGATCTGCCTCAGATATTGATTCAATCTAAAAGTCGTGACAATGGAAGTCATATCATGCCACAAAATAATCAGGCACAATTATCGAAGCAAAAAGAACTGGGATCGACTTTAACGAAGAACAATGTAATAACCATTGAGAGGACGATCCATGATGATTATTTCCATAAAGCAATGAAGCAGCAATTTGCCTCAGCTTCATATCAGCAGACATCGAATTCAATTGTTGAAAATGTCGTTGAGTCGGATAATGAGAAGTCCATTTGCACTATTTGCGAGAATAAGCCAATGAATTTTTCATTTGACTCCCTTTCACTCGTCTCTAATCTCACTTTCCCTGGAGCATTTCGTGCGCATTGCTGTGATTGTCAAAAAGTCAAAGCCTCTGAGATATGTACCAAGTCCGCTTGTTGATGCAGACAAAGATAAAAATTCCCTTGTATATACTTTTGCAATCAAAATACTCCTTTTTGTTACTACGTTCCAGGTTTGATACTCATCTTCCTTATAGTACACATATTGCCTTCATTAAGATAAAACAACATTTCAAATATTCATAAGCATTTAACATAATAAAGTAATTAAATATTTTAACTGAAGTCCCATATTTAAAATGCTCATTGGCAAAATGCTTTTTTATTTTGGCGGTTTCAATTTTTTACTTAACGGATTTATGACTCTATTTCGCTACATTTTTACGCCTATTGATTAAAAAACCACTTTTCGTAACCCCGGGACCATGGTAATGTATTTGGTAACAACGTTGTATAATCGTTCTCAAAAGGGTTACTTTTTTGTAAAAAAGGAATATCTATAATGATTTTATTACCCCATTGCCATGGTTATTACATTTAATAGGAAAACAAAATAATCAAACAATATTAATCAATGTCTTGGAAATTTATATGAGTATTTCCACAGTGTACATAATATTTTTAAAAAAAATTTGCTTGTAGCCATTTACAATTTGCAATTCTAAATGTATTTTTATAAAACCTCTACCGAATTTGGCCGTCATCTTCTGAAACTGAGATGAAAAGTAAGAGATCGCCATTATACGCATTTCATTGGTTCATCGGCCAGAGTACGTTAATTAAAACCCCCAATATAAAACATTTCTGAAAGAAAGATATTGAAATTAAACAAGAAGGGGTTTACTTAAATTTAAAATTTATAAACGCTCTTCCAATTAAATTTAAACACGACTTTATGGTTATATCTCGGTTTGCAACGGTGGGAGATGCTAATTTGATAACAGAATCCAAATAAGCCAAATTTTAATATGAAAATATTTTCAATAAATTATTAGTTAAATATTTCAATCCAATATTTCTTTAGACAGACTTCTCTGATAAACAGATACCTATTTATTCATAGAATTTGAAGTTATTTCAGATTAAATTATATTTAAAATATAGAATAATTTTTTCGACTCACTACATTTATATTTTCATTACATGTTGGGTTTTATGTTTTGAAATTCAATTTTTAATGGCTAATATATATACATATATCTATGTGCTCTTCCTTAATTTGCTATTAAATATAACACAAATGGTTCTTCGTCCGAGCATAACCCACTTTCCCACTGAACTATCAGTAGTAAAATATCACTTTTCAGAATTTTCTGTCGCGTATGAACTTCTTTAGGTCAGCTTTGGAACCTTTCCCTCGCTAATAAAATAAAAAGCTTGTGAAATTCTATTCGGGGATATTAAGATCATCGCTGAATTGAGTGCAACTGTGATAGCATTTCACGGAGTAGTAATGAACTAGGCAAATGATTTAGAATGAAATAAGAATTCAACCTTCGGTGTCCATAAAGGCGACAGACATTTTTTGCTTTTAACTGATGTAAAAGGAGTTGGGTTTTCAGGTAATGATTGCTGCTCCTAGGAAAGGAATAAAAAATTTGTAAACGTAGGTGGTTGAACACAACATTGAATGGTTTAAGTGCAATTAAATTAATGAAGAACAAAAAAGGACATTTTATCAAAGTGTCATGAATAACATGTAAACAAAGGAAATAGAAAACACCAATTTTGAAAAAAATGTGGTCTAAAATCCTTTTAATCAATGGCAAATTGACAAAGTAAAGGCTTAGGTTTTTTGGATTTTATGCTTCCGATTACATTTGGACAGCAAATAGTCTCAAAGTAATCAAATATTTGCTGAAAAAATGAAGAAACGAGAAAATCATCTTTGAAGGTTTGGCTTGTTTAAATGTGGTTAAGTCTCTCTTTTAGTAGTTGGGTTGACGTATGCTGTTACCTATGGCATATTTGCTATTAAAGTTTATTTATTTATTTATATCAAATGGCAGGCGTTTTGATGATTATCATTAGCCCTTTCGTTGACTTCAGGCTTCACAGAGTGGAAGGAACATCAAAGTGAAAAAGGTCGAGATGGGGGGGGGCAGAAGAGTGTTTCAAGGATGTAAAAGAGACAGAGACAGAGTTAGAATAAAGGTGAGGTGAGTACTATGGAAGTATTCGAATTTGACATACAATGGGGTGATGGTAATTTGGGGTCAGAAGTCAAC